TCGTGGTTGCTGTGATGCTGAACACTGTGACATGGATGTGTCAAATACGATAATGGATACCCATGGTGGACAGTGGTTGGTGGAGCTCCCCGATTAAAACAAACATGGAAGCAGGAGTGGCATCCACTTCCAAAATAGCTTGCCTCCGGAAACCCTATGAACTTAGAGAAACAATGGAAGTTATACAAGTGTTCAGGTCTTTCGTTCATAGGGTCGCTATGAGTTGTCTACAACTCGATGGCACTTAACCACAACCACAACAACAACTCTATGGCAAGTCTTTCTGTCGCTCTCTGCTGGTTCTAGTGGCTCTTTGTGTTTCTGCTCCATCTTATGGCTTAGCATCTCTCTTTCCCCATCTCTGCTGCTTTCCCTAGCTTGTCTAATCTCTTTTCTATGGCAGAAGAAATTGACCCTGGACACACTCTGCTAATCCTGCCTCATTAGCACAATAAAGACAGTCCATCCTCAAATCTAATTATAACCACAGGTGTAGAAGTTAGAATCTACACCACCTACAGCCTCTGAAAACTCATAGCTGAGATTTAGCTTTGAGTTCTAACTCAACAGCACCCAACAACAACTTTAGGGAGTACTTAGTCCAAAACATTGCACACCTCACTGCCCCCAAATTCATGTCCTTGCCATATACAAAATACATCTCCCCCATTATATCATCACTCCTAATCTTAAATCCATTTCAAGTCCAAAATTCACCTTCTGAGTCATCTAGATCATTGACTCAAAGTACACCCTGTATTAATCCTGCTTCATTAATGTGACAAAGACAAACTATCCCAAAAATGGGATAAAAACCACAGAGTTTAATATTGACAGCACATATTTTGGGGGGGGGCAGTGGACATAAGTGAACCCATAATAGATCCTGAGCCTCATTATAATTTAATGTGACAAAATGTCTATAAAAATCCTATGTGCAAAAAAAAAGAAAATTTAAATGTTATTTTAAAGTATCCTATGTGCATTTAAAAATTAGATGGTAACTAAACCCATTGTCATTCCGTGGATTCTTACTCAGTGACCCTTAGGACAGAGGAGAATTGCGGCATAGGGTTCCCAAGGCTATAAATCTCTACAAAGGCAGACTTTTTCCTGTCGGCTCTCCTGTTGACTTTCCGCTCTTTTTCCTGTTGGCTTGAACAATCAGCCTTCAGAATTATCAGCTAGCACATAACCACTGTGCTCCTGGGGCTTCTTCACAGTAAGTACCTAAAGGACTACAATTAAAAGCAACCACCTTGCCTCTGGGGACTGAATAGAGATGCAGTTTCTTTCGGCTCAGATTTCAGAACACCATCTTTCACACTTCCTGAGATCCTCTGGCATTCCAGTCATTGAGGAGTCTATGTGTCCATTCCTTTCATCTGTGGCATAACTTGCATCTTCTCACCACAGGCCAGATGACCTTGCACAATGTGAGCTGTCACCTCTTTTTCTCCTTGACTTATCCTCAGACAGATTCCATTTCTCAGCATGCGCGCGTGCGCGCGCACACACACACACACACACATACACAGAGAGAGAGTCTCTTCACTCTTCTTTATACTTCTGCCTCAGGACCTTTGACTGGTGTCTTCTTTGGAGTACTCTCCCCCTTAGAAGTCCACAAGTCACCTTTTCTTCCCTTACCTTGTACTTTTCTCTCCTGTGTCCCTTTATCGGTGAGTCAGCCCTTGATCTCTTATTTAAAATCACAAGCTGTCCCACCTTCTGCCACTTCTCCTATCCTCCTGTTCTCCATAACAACCATTGCTTCTAACATAATACACCATTTACTGTGCACAGCTCTATCCTCACTGCCTAAAGCAGCACTTGGTATATAGTAGGTATTTGAGAAACATGTAGAATTAACAGTTTTATGAAGAAGGTCCTATTGTTACACCCATTTTGCTAATGGAGAAACAGAGGGACAGAGGCATTGTCACTGCCAAGGTCAAACATAAGTGCTGCCATGAAAAGACTCAAACACATGTATATGTCTCCAGAACCCAGAGTGTTAACTTCCTCACCAATTTAGTGTAATTTAAATTAAATAAACCACCTCTTTACTATTTCAAGAAATTTATAACCAAGCCTGCTTCCTAGTTTGGTGTAGTCTGGAAGCTCTACTGAAACCTGGCCACCATGGGTGACCCTGCTGGTATTTGAAATGGCAGCATAGCTTCCATCATCACAGCAACATGCAGGCCACCACAGTATAGCAAATGTTTGTGAGGATCACACAAAATCTGGCAGGGTTTCCCTCTGTTGAACACAGGGTCACTGTAAGTCAAAGGCATGGCACCTAGCAACAGACTAACTCCCTCAGGAGCCCAGGTAGCAGAGCAGTTAAGTGTTACACTGCTAACTGGAAAGTTGTTAGTTTGAATTCACCAGCCACTCCAAAGCAGCAGAAAGATGAGGCAGTGACCTCCTATTAGGATTTACAGACCTGGAAGCCCAGTGGAAGGATGTCCTGAAGACCCAGGGCTGTGGGTTTGGGATAAACTACCTCCCTTGTACTAGTTTTTGGGTTTTTTAAAAATTCCTATTTTTATCATTCATATACATTGTGTTTAATGCATGTACACTGTGGGAGGCTTTGGGTTATTTTGTACATTGTGTTTTATACACTCTTTGATTTATATTATATTTAGTTCATTTATATTGTATTGGTTTTCCCCTCTTAACAATCATCTTATTAATAACTGCTTTCATGAAAGCATGTAAGCCAGCTACTTCCTCATCCCTATTAAACCAGTCAGAGGAAGCTCCATCTGACATACTTTGGGCATGCTCCTTGGGACGGATCCTTGGAGAGGGACATCATGCTTGGGAGGGTGGAGGGACAGCACAAGAGAGGAAAACCCTGAATGAGATGGATTGACTCAGTGATTGAGATAATGGGGTAGGTGTGTCAGAGACAATGAAATTGGCTCAAGATAGAGAAGGGTTCAGAGCTGTTGTACATAGGGTTGCTATGAGTCACAAGTTAGTTGATAGCACATAACAACAACAACATCATACCGGTACTCTGAGGGAAGAAGCATGTCCCTTTTGCTGAGGAACTAGTTTTCGTTTCAAATGCCTTAAATGGATTGACTTAGTAAAAAATAGAGTCAAAATTAAATGAAACCATCACTATAAACTTGTAATCCCTAGGCACTTTGAGAGTACAAAGGTCATTAACATGAGTGAAGTGTGTTTATTTTCTTTTTATTATCATCCCCAAGGTCTACCCTTCCTCCTTTCACCTTTCATCTTGCCTCCACCAATTTTATATCATCTGCTTTTCCCACCTAATATTCCTTTTTGCCCCACTTAATAGTCTTTTCTCTTTTTCTCATTTTTCAACTCCATATTCTTAAGGGAAACATTGCTTACCTAGACCTTCAAAAAAATAAATAAAGGGTATGTTTCCTGCACCCCCACCTTTTCTCCACACCCCACAACCGTGCAGCCAGCCACCTCTATGACTTGGATGGTAACCTTTATGGAAGCAGATCACCAGGCCATTTTTCCGTGACACTGCTGGATGGATTTGAACCTCCAGCCTTTACGTTAGTAGTCGAGAGGAGATCACTTGCAGTAACCAGGGACTATTGCTTCTATTTCACAATTTTTAAAAATTAATCTTATGATTTTTTTTAAGGTTCACAATTAGGTCCTGACTCACCCCACTCTCTGGGAAGCCAACCACATCCAATGCTGCTGCTTTTCTGAAGTTAGGTGAAGATTCGGGTCTTGTTTGGCCCCTGTCTCATGGAGAATAATTTTGGAAGGAAGCCCTCAGTTTATTCCTTTAAAGATGCTTAACTCTAGCTTGAGAGATAGGAGTTGAGAGATGCAGAAGCCTTGCTCAGAGCTCCAGCCACAAGCTCAGCTCTAAGCCTTGAAAATCTCTACCAGAATATCCCATGGCTATTTTAAAAACCAAATATCATGGTCCAAAGGGATTCCAGCATAAAATTCAGCCGCACTTCTCTCTCGCTCTGCTCCCCTCCCATAGCGTGGGCTGAACCTTCTTCTTATGTTACTGATCTTTTTTTATTGAGTAATATAAGTCTTCAGCACAAAAATTCACAGCTAGACAGAGAACACCGGAGGAGGGTCTCTTCTTTCTGTGGCGCCTTCTGCCCCACGGGGACACTCCGAGGTGGGATCAGCAAACCTCACCCCGCGGGCCCCACTCCGGTCAAGTCCTCGGCGGGGGTGGACACGCCGACCGGACACGAGCGTGGGCGGGACACCCCTCTGTGGCCAGCGCACGCACTGCGCAGACTCCCCGCTGCAGTGGGCGGAGCCCCGCCGGCCCCGCCTTCTCTTTCATCCCGCCGGGGCTCTGCCTGTCCGGGCAGAAGCGCCCCCCGAGAAGGTTGCAGCTACCGGCTGGAGAGTAAGGCCGAATCCCCTTTGGGGTGAGGGAGCTTGGGCAGTGGGCTGGCTGGTGGCAGGGAGGCCCTGCTTGTCAGGGCTCCTAGTCTGACTTGTCTGGTGGGGACCTGGCGATGAAAACCGAAGAGACAAGCAGCAAACACTGTCTGAGTAATGCTAGAGCTGGGAAAAGCCAGGCACGAAGATTTGGAGCTCTGCAGACCCCATCTCGAGCTGTCTTTTGGGTGAATGTCTAGATGAGCGCTCAGAAGAAGGCTAATGAGGGCAGGAAGCAAGGTGGACCTTACTAGGGGCGGATTGAACACCAGTGGGGGCAGGCTAGACGGCCCACGGGGATGGGAAGAACGCTTCAAGGCATTAGACTTTGAAGGATTTCGAAAGTCCTACTGACCGGCTTCCTCTATGGGATGGTGGGTCCCAAGCCAGGGTCCCCAGTGGTCACGAGCGAGGAGAACCAATGCGTCTTTTGACTCCTGTGACTGATCCCGCCCTCCTTGATATCCTTCCAAAAGGCTGAGCCACCTGCCTAGCCCCAGCTTTGGCCTTCCTCAATTTGGAGACCCTGACACACCCACCTTCCCGCCTCCTTCCAGCTGTCAGGCATGATGAAGCCTAAACTCATGTACCAGGAGGTAGGTGAAAGGGGAGCCAGGTTGGTAGGGGCTGGCCCCGATGGAGGGGTGGAGTCCCTCATGAAATGACCTCTCACCCGCACCCCATATCCCCCCAGCTGAAGGTGCCTGCTGAGGAACCTGCCAACGAGTTACCCATGAATGAGATAGAAGCATGGAAGGCTGCAGAGAAGGTAGGGTTTCCCTGCCACCCTCTCCATCTCAGCAAGGGCCGCACTGTCCCCCCCAACCCCCAGCTCTAACTGACTACCTTTTACTCCTCCTAGAAAGCCCGCTGGGTCCTGCTGGTCCTCATTCTGGCGGTCGTGGGCTTCGGAGCCCTGATGACTCAGCTCTTCCTATGGGAATACGGCGACTTGCATCTCTTTGGGCCCAGCCAGCGTCCAGCTCCCTGCTACGACCCCTGCGAGTGAGTGAGAGGAGGGTTGGGATGGTTGTGGGAGGAATCCACCTGGACCAGAAAGCTCAGATGCGCACTGAGCAGAGGCTGCACTCAGCCACATTAAATAACAGGGACAAAGGACAATGTTACAGACCCAATAATGTGCTTACAGGTTCCTCCCCCACAAGCAATGTTCTGTGGCAGCCTCAGTAGCATCTTCTGTCCACTTCTCTGGACTGACATATGCATACAGACATATACAATCGCCCATCCACACCTGTGGACAGACACAGATAGCCATGCATACAGTCTTGGACACATACAGATGTGGACAGGTAGATACAGACACACACACATATAATCATCCATCTTCACCTGTGGACAGGCAGATACATACAGACTATCTATTGTCAACATCTGTGAACGATATCTACACACAGACAACTTTCCACATCTGTGGGCAAATACACATATACCTGTTGTCACTGAGTTGATTCCTACTGAAGCTCTGGTGGCCTAGTGGCAAGAAGCTGCACTGCAATCTCAGAGTTGATTACTACTCATGGCACCTCTCTGTGTCGGCCTAGTACTGCTCCATGAGGTCAGGGGCCAATCTTTTGGAAGTAACTCCAGGCCTTTCTTCCAAAGTGCTTCTGGATGAACTTGAATCTCTAACGTTTTGTTTAGAACTCAAGCATGTTAACTATTTACACCTACTGATTCAAAATAAAAATTATTTCTGTGGAGTCATAAATCATATGAAAGGAGACTGTCTGTCCTTCTCCCACAGAACAGCTGGTGGATTCCAGCCACAAGCCTTTGGGTTGACAGTGCAACTCCTTACCTCTAGACCATCAGAGCTCCCAAGGACCACAATATGCATCTTTATTGTTGTTAGGTGCCTCTGAGTTGATTAGGACTCATAGCAACCGTGGGTACAAAGGACCTGAACCGTACTCCACCCTGTACCATCCTTATAATCTCTGATATACTTGAGCCCATTGTTACAGTTGCTGTGTCAAGCCATTCCATTGAGGATCTTCCTGTCTTTCACTGACCCTCCACTTTTCGAAGCATGATATCCTTCTCTATGAGGACTGTCCTCTCCTAACAACATGTCCACATACAAATAGAATCTTTTGTCCATGTTTATGGACAGATAGATTCTTCCATCCACAACTATGAGTACAGATAGCAGGCTCTCCCACCCACACCTACGGACAGACTTTACAACCACAATCTCCCATCTGTGTCTGTGGACACACACATCTTCCTCTAAGAATCATGAGAACAGGCGCACACACACAGGCACATAGTCTCTCATTCTCTTCCCCTGTCGCTGACATGCCTCCCACCCTTACCCCACAGAGCAGTGCTGGTGGAGAGCATTCCCGAGGGCCTGGAATTCCCAAACATGTCCAGTGTCAACCCCTCAACCAGCCAGGCTTGGCTAGGCCTCCTCGCCGGGGCCCACAGCAGCCTGGACATCGCCTCCTTCTACTGGACCCTCACCAATAATGACACTCACACCCAGGAGCCCTCTGCCCAGCAGGTATGTGGCAGCCTGAGTCCTTGCAGGCACAGGGGTGGCGATGGTAGGAGCCAGGCAGCCTAGGAAACAAGTTTTGCTTAAACAGAAAATTACACAGAGGTGTCCGGAAGCTGCTGTCTCTCCACAACCCTCTGGCTCCTGAGACGTTTGTCATTGTCCTCTGCAGCCCTCTGAATGTCAAGGTGCGGGTTTGGTTACAAGGGATTAGGCTGGTAGATGTTACTCACCCACAAGCAGCCTTGATCCCATCCCACATGCTGGGATACCAGGTAGCCAGCAGGCCCAGTTGAAAGCCAGCCAGCCACTTCCCACCTGTCTGACCCAGAGGAGCACTTCATCTACTGAGTTTCACTTTCTGTATCTGTAAAATGGGCCTAATCTCTGCCATCTGACCCCTGGGATTCTGATGGAGCTGGAATAGGTTAGTTAATCTGTGCAAATTCCAGCTCAAGAGTCCAGCTCAATGTAAGGATTTGCTATTATTATGTCCTTTTATAAGTCCATGTGGAAAACCCCCAAAAAGTGTCAGGCTGTGAAAAGGAATATCTCAAATGGGTAATTCTTGCCATTGATTATCCCCCCTGCCTTTCCACTGTTTCTCTGCTGCTTTTTTTTTTTGTTTGTTTGTTTGTTTAATTTTTTTAATTATTTTATTATTTTGTGTGTGTGTACCGTCAAATCAGATCTGACTGGTACAGGAGGAGATTGTCCCTCCTTTCCCGGCAGAGCATCTGGTGGATTTGAACCGTGTGCTTCTGGGATTGCAGTGTAGCTTCTTGCCACTAGGCCACCAGAGCTCCCCTTCTCTGCTGCTTTTTTTAAAAAAGTATATTTTATTTGAATGAAAGTTTACAAATCTCATTGGTTTTTTCTAGATAATAATTCGTAGACAATTATTATACCCTTTTTTTGTGACCAGCAGTTTTAAAGATTTCCTCAGGTTCAGAGGATAGGAAGGGAGCAAATGGAGGGATGAGTAGAAATAAGAACCAGAGAGGGAAAGTGGAAAGAGTGATGATACCATGGGGGGATTGGAACCCATGTCACAAAATGGTATGTGTATCATTGGTTGACTGTAGTCTTCCAAGTAGATTGAAGCTCAACATCAAGAAGACAAAGATTCTCACCACTGGGCCAGTTGGCAGCACCATGATGAATGGAGAAGCGATTGAGGTTGTTAACAGTTACAGCTTGTTTGGCTCCACAGTCAACACTCTTGGTTCCAGCAGTCAGAAAATCAAAAGATGAATTACATTAGGTAAATCTGCTGTCAGGGACCTTTCCAGAGTACTGAGAAGCACAGATGTCAGTCTAGAAACTAAGGTGCACTTGATCCAGGACATGGTCTTTACAATTACTTGCTATGTATCAGAAAGCTGGACAGGGATTAAGGATGACAGAAGAAGAACTGATGCCTTTGAGTTGTGGTGCTGAAGAAGAGTCTTGAACATGCCATGGACTGCCAAGAAAACAAATAGTTCTGTCTTAGAGAGAGTGAAATCAAATTTCTTCTCGGCGGCTAGGATTTTGAAGCTCCATCTCACATACTTTGGGCACGTGGCCAGGAGGGACCAATCTTTGGAGAGAGACATCATGTTCGAAAGGGTGGAGGGACAGCACAGTAGAGGAAAACCCTGGATGAGATGGATTGATAATAGTAACAAAGGCAATGGGGGTAGGTGTGTCGGAGTCAGTGAGGTTAGGACAGAGCAGGTTTCAGAGCTGTTATACAAAGGGTCACTTTGAGTTGCAGGTGACTCAACAGCACATAACAGCAAGAATGGTTGAACTAAATACTAATCTCCTGGGTAAGCTTCAAATTGTAATTTATAAAACCACAAAAGACATGGACTACCACAGCAGACAGTCACATGGTCTGTGTTCAGATCCTGTGCCTCCACTAAACTCTCAAACTCTGTTTTCTCCCCTAGACCTGGAAGGGTAGGGGTGTGCTGTCACTAGTACTACTAGCATCCTCATGTTTCACCCCAGCCTGAGCTTTGCCTCTCAACTTCAAGAAAGGCATGCTGGCTCTTACAGAGGTCCCCAGGAAGTGGAGGAACGGCTGGAGGCTCTAGGGGACACTGGGAAGGGACTCAGAGAAACAAATATTTAAAATAAAGATAGGAGTTGGGAGTTTTCACTTGTAAGGCTAAACCTGGTTGTATGGGCTTAGTGTCAATCAAATCTTAGAGCCCACCTTCAGAGTAACCCCGTGGAGAAGCCATGTGGGGCCGCTGAGTGGGCTGGCTGAGCCTCACTGAAGCTTTCCTTCTTCCCCCCCAGGGTGAAGAGGTCCTTCGGCAGCTGCAGGCCCTGACACCCCGAGGTGTGAAGGTCCGAATTGCTGTCAGCAAGCCCAGTGGGTCCCAGACCCAATCTAATCTACAGGCTTTGCTGCAGAGTGGTGAGCCGGGGGGCCGGGGTGGCGGGGGCCTGGACCTGTCAAGCCCACCCCTGATTGCACCATCCCTGTTGCCCAAAGGTGCCCAGGTCCGCACGGTGGACATGCAGAAGCTGACCCATGGCGTCCTGCACACCAAGTTCTGGGTGGTGGACCAGACACACTTCTACCTTGGCAGCGCCAATATGGACTGGCGCTCCTTGACCCAGGTCTGCTTGCATCCTGCCTACCAGCCCCTTCTCCAGGCCCCTACCTGCCCCACAAGGCAGCCAGCCTCCTACCACTGCCCCTCCTCAGCCCCAGAGTCCTCTTGACCAGTCTCTTTCCTGCCTCCTCCATATCCTCTGTTGTTATGTTCTGTTAAGTCAAAATGGACTCATAGTTGACCTTCCAGTGGGTTTTCAGAGGCGGTATATCAAGTGGGAGGAGATTGCCCATCTTTCTGTCTCTGAGCTGTTAGTTGCTGTATTCCAGCCATGTGCCCTTGGGATAGCAACGCAGCTCCTTATCATTAGACCACCAGAGCCTCTTAATGTACTGTCGAATAAGAACCGACTCATAGCTGACCCTTCAGTAGGTTTTCACAGGCAGTAAATCACATGTGGGGGGAGATTGCCCACCTTTCTGTCTCTGAGCGGTCAGCCGGTGGGTTCAATGTACATGCCCTCAAGTTGGCAGTGCAGCTCTTTACCACTAGACCACCATAACCACAAGCCACCCCAAATCTAGCCCTCTACTGCCCTGTTCCTCCCTTCCCTGATGATAGCCCCTACCCAGGGCCTCTCCCTGGGTATTATTCCCATAATTCTGTTCTAAGCCCAGTCCTGGAGATGGCTGTGAACATGATGGTAACAGCTAACTTCTTGGAGCTCCAAGTTTAAAGGGGGAGACAGACTTGTCACCACACATGACAGTAGTCAGGGCCGGACCAGGAGAGGCACAGATGGAGGGGTGCGGGCTGCATAGAGGAGGCACAGGGAGAGGGGCCAGGCCCGGGCCAAGCCAAGGAGGCTCGGGCAGTGAACACAGAGCCAGGATGGGGTATCACTAGCAGAGGAGTTGGGGCTGGAGCAGGAATAGCCTCCTAGAAGAGGAGCCATATCGGGCTTATGGGAGGGGTTTTTCCCAGAGGAAATGAGAACTGAGATACCTGGCAGATATCAATGCCTTTGTGCAAAGCCAGCACAAAGAAACAGTGTAATTGCTGATGTGCAAGTAATTACTCAACAAACCACTGTTTTTGACCAGCTGAAATGAGGATGTTGAAGGCACATCTCCAGTGCCTGTCCTCTGCTCCACTGAGGACAAGGCTGCCACTATAGTGATGAGGGAAGCCAGCGGAGATGGGGTTCTTGCAGTCATGAGGGGCTCTCTGGAGGAGGAAGCATGCAGACTGAGGCTGAGCCTAAGAGCTGGCTCCAGAGGGGGAAGAAGGCAGAGCAACAGCACGTGCCCTTCCGGGAAGCTGGGAGCTGCAGAACATCTGAATGGTTTTCACTAAAACGTAGCACAATATTTTAGTCCTGCATCAAGTTTATGCCCGTCCCAGTACTTAACCCAGCGACATCAGTCTAACAGTTTGAATCTACCAGTAGCTCTGAGGAAGAAAGATGAATGTTCTCCTCATGATTTACAGCCTCTGAAAACTGGCTAAAGGGTCAGCCATGAGTCAGTTTTCAACTCCCTGGCGGTGACTCAGAGGGTTTTTAGCTGTAACAGGAATACCACAAGTGAGTGGCTTTATAAGAAATAAATTTATTTCCTCACTGTTTAAGATGCTGGGTGTCCAAGTTCAGGACACCTTCCTATGGAGGAAGGCTCGCTCTCTTTGTTGTCTCTGGAGCTTCTGCTTCTGGGCGACCTTCATGTGGCTTAATTTCTCTTTCCCATCTCTGCTTCTTTGCTGGTTTGCTTAACATCCTTTATATCTCAAAGAAAGACTCATTTAGAAAACACCCTAACTCCTCCTTACTCTAGCTAACATGACAAAGACCACTGGTTGCCAAATGAGGTTTTAACATCCAGGCATGTTGTTATACCATCCAGTCGGAACATGTCTGACCCTCCAGCAGGTTTGCAGGGGCGATAAATCACATGAGAGAAGATTACCCATCTTTCTCCCACAGAGCAGCAGGTGGATTTGAACTGTGTGCCTTCAGGTTGGCAGAGCACCTCCTTATCATTAGGCTACCAGAGCCCCCTAACATCCAGACATAGAGGTTAGAATTTACAGCACCTCTTCTGGAAGGGACTTAACCCAGTTTATAACACTTCACCCTTCAAAATTGATGTCCTTGACACATAAAAACCACATCCACTCCATCATGCCCCAAAATCTTAAATCCACGTCCAAACTCACATCTTTCGATTGATCTATAGTTGATATACGGTAGGATGTAGGGGTGAGACTTTAGGCCTGTTCCTTTCCAGGGCAGACTTCATCTGTGAACCAGTGGCATCTGACTACAAGCTTATAAAGTGCAATAGTGGAAGAGGCCCAAGGTAGGCATTCCTATTACAAATTAGAGAAACAGAAGGGATCCCCAAATCAATTCTAAAACCCAGGAGAACAAATTACATTCGCTCTAAAGGCTTAGAAATAACCCACTGTTCTTTGGAACCAGCTGGGCAGGCCCTCTAGAGGCTAGATATTGGCCCAACTCTCTAAATTCTGGGTGGAGGCCCTCAACCCTAGGCTTCACTTTCAGCTCCACTGAGATGACAACTCTATTCCCTTGGCCTTAGGGGTCACTACAGGACCCATTCTTCTGCTCCTTGGGACATAACCCCATGCCTCAGCTTTGGACTGCAGCCCTGTCACGTGGCAGGCATTAATGGTAGCCCCACACTCTATATAACCACCTAGTGAAGATCTGATTCTGTCCATCTAGGATTCTGTGTCCCCACATTTGGAGACCCAGGACACCTTGGCCCCACCCTTTGAAACAGAAAAGGTCTTGCTTCTTGAATTTCTTCCAACAGTTCTGCTCATCTCCTACCTCTTCCAGGCAAGCCCTTTTCTTGGAGGACAAGTGTTGCTCCTTTGGCCTGTCTCCTACCTATAGAATTCCTAGACATACACAGACTTCTTTCTTAATTCTCTCCTCTTAGTCTAAGATGATAGGTTTTCTGCTATGGTAGTTGGTGAGCGCCATCAAATCACAGGCTTAATCACAAAAGACTGTGTAGCCACATCCTTCGGTGAAGCTTCTGGGACACTTGTCCTTAGTAGGTACAACAGGATTTTCCAAATTGTTTTAACTTCTGTTTTCATTTTGCACAGATGGTTTTCTGAGAGTAACCTTGTTTTAGGTGAAAGTTTGCATTGCAAATTAGTTTCCCCGTGGACAGTTTTTATACATATTCTTCTGTGTCATTGGTTACTTTTTCTCCCCGTGTCAGCATTCTCACTTCCAGTCCATTTGTTCTGTTTTCATTGATTTAGCTTCCCTTCCCTTCTGTGCTTTCTCGTTTTGGTTCTGGGTAAACGTGGATCATGTGACCTCACAGAGATGATTATTTGGGGAACACATTACTCATGGGTGATGGCAGTTTATAAAATAAGGCTGGAGGTGACCTGTGGAAATAGCTTTAGATCCAAACTCAAAGGATGACTTAGTACAGTAGTCTTTATTAGTCAAGTAGGTCTGGCCTTTGAGTGCACAGTTCATTATGTTGTTGTTGTTGCATACCATCGAATCGGATGTGACTGGAACAGGAGGAGATTGCCCTTCCTTCTCTAGCACAGCATCTGGTGGATTCGAACCATGCACCTTCGGGATTGAAGCGCATCTTCTTGCCACTATGCCACCAGAGCTCCTTCAGTTCATTTTAAGTCTTATATCTTTTCCTCATATTTTTATTATAACGTGCAGAGAGAAACCACATGCCCTTTTAAGACTTTGCTTATAAATCTCCTCAACCTGATATTCAAACTCATTCCAAATTCTTCCTCCCATGAAACATTGAACTTCATGCAGGCAAGTTCTTTGTCTCTATATAAAAAGTATTACTTTTCCTCCAATCACAAGTTCTCTCTTTTTTTTTTTTAAGACTTATCAGAAGCACATTTAGCTTTGCTGGCTGAGTGGTAAAGAGCTGCTTTGCTAACATAAAAGCACACAGTTTGAGTCCAATTGGTGGTGCTCAGCCAAAGAAAGCTGGGCTGTCTCTTCCCATGTGATTTACTGGCTCTGAAAATCCGCTGGAAGGTCAGCTAGGGGCTAAGGTCGGTCCTGACTCAATGGTTCTAAAATACAACTTCATTGCTAACATTCTGTTGGTGGCACCATATGTATTCCCTAAGACAACAGAGACTTCTTGATATTGATCTTTATTCCCTACTGAGCCCTCACCAGAATTACCTTTGATTTCTCTAATTCTACTAATAGTCTCTTCACAACAATGTGCTTTTACTATTGTTGTGAGGTGCCATGAAGTCAACTGACTCTTGTTATTGTTGTTGTTATGTACAGTCAAGTCACTTGCGACTCATAGTGACCCTATGTACAGCAGCCCTAAA